TGACAGCAGGATAGATATACCATGAGCCCAAGACGAGAATGGCGAGTGTATACTCCAGTGGGTCGCAGATTTCTTCTAATCCCTCGGAATATACGGACCCCGCCTACGACGACTACATCAACAGTGTGCTCACCGACTATGGCATTAGGTTCAGTCCTGGGGGATCAGGGATCGAGGAGATTGAAGACGATCCTTCCCTGGTGCCCAGCAGCGAGGAGAGCAGGGAGGCGACTGAGGACAAGCCTCTCAATTTGAAAATAGAGGTGTTGGAATCTGGGCAGCGTCCCTCCGCCCACCACATCGCCACCTCCAGGAACTTCAAAGTCTCAGAAATAGGAAGTGATGAGGGTATATATATTTAAATAAGTTATCTAACACATAGGTAAAATTTTAAATATACATTAAATTACTGAAACCACAAATTGTTACAATTGTGATGCCACACAAAAACAGCTCATTTCAAACCTTTTTAAGGCTTTCTTAATTGATCCCGTCTTGTGGGTGAGTGGCAGAAAGGTAAGTCATATAATGGATTCAGGTAATAAACCCCAACAATCTAATGGTCTTTAAGCTAAATAACTGAAATCTCATTTGAGCTAATTAACATATAATTTCCGTTTGACTAATATAAACTTCCAGCTAAACCCGTGGTGTAGTGGTTAAGACATTCGCCTGGTGTTTCCATTGATTAATTGTTTCCGCCGGAGGCGGCTAGGTTATTGTGCACCGCATACTCATCCTGTGAGCGGTAGCGCAAAAGCATTACAGAGGGCACAAAAGGTCTTTATCAGACCTCATCTTAGATTATTACATAAACTATTTCATCTGTTCTTCACACCTTATAGTTACAATGTCACACCTTATAGTTACAGAGAATGTTCTATTTCAAGAGCTATATATTTACGGTGTCATTATACACTGGTGTTTCGCGAGCGTTTTGTCCTGGGTTCGTATCCTCGCCGGGGAGGATTTACTGAGCGTCAGTTCTTAACTAAAGCCTCTGTTTAACCCAACAGTAAAATGGGTACCTACCTGGTTGTTAAACGATTTGGCGGGGTCGTATTCCGGGGAACATAGGATTAAGGACTTGCCCGAATCGCTACGCGTGCTAGTGGCTGTACAAGATTGTATTAAATAAAAAATCAGTGTATATGATTTGAGAGAGGTTTTATGCTGTGGGGCTCTCAACCTCGTGGCCCCAACCCAGGGAACCAGGGGGGTATTCTTTTACACCTATCGGTCTGTGTCAGGTTAGGTAAAGGGCAGTGTGTCCTGTGGAGGGAGGAATGTACTAGATGATAAGTGACTTTCCTCGTCTCCAGGCCAGCATTGGAGGTGATTGGGCAAACCTAGCCCAAGAGGGGTGGTCCCCATATATGTTTCTTAGCCAAATCTAGATGTCAGTCAGGGCATTATGGAGAGGGCTTGCTAGGCCGTTAAAATACAGTGATGGAAGGATCCATCTCGACTGGGGGTCTGGAGGGGGGGGGGCTGTATGAGGAGCTCTGACCTCGTCTTCAGATCTAGTTTGTTTTTAGCCGTTGCTATCACTCGTTCTGGGTATCCTCTGGCGTAGAACATGTCCCTGAGGTCTAGTAGTTGAGTAGCAGGGGTGTCTTCAAGGCTGTTTATACTCTTCAAACGTAGACCTAAGACTGGGAAAATGTGCTACGTGGGGTCCCACAGGGGTCCATTTTGGGGCCAACCCTTTTTTCATATACATCAATGACATAGATGTGTCACAATTGATATGTTTGTCCTGCACACCGCCCCCCATCTGGGCAGCGGTGGATAGGTTACAATCACTCGGTTACTACCTACAGTTAGCAAACTGGGGATATTTGGCTAAAATTTCTGGTAGCAGATCATTTTGAATTAAATATTTACACATCGTTGGAACATTGGTTATAGAATTGTCTCTCAATTCACGTATCTTTTCGCACTCCATCACATAAGTGACGGAGGGTGTGCGAATAATTTTGTTGACACAGTTTACATTTGGTCAGGTCTACATCGGCGGATAATGAGAATTCCCAGAGAAATGAAGTAATAGATTTTCTTCAATTAGAAATAATTAATTACGGGCTATTCATGCCCGTACCACCTCTTGTGTGGCTTAATCTTCATCAGTCATCAGAAATAATTAAGCTACAGTGTGATTCTGTTTTGAGGGAAATATTTTCAAGTGTTAATACTGGTACATTTTATTAATATCTGGGATTATGTCTGCTTGTGTGCAAAATGGAGAAATCTTTTGAAAACAGCATTTATATTTGGCAGATAGTATTTTCCTAACTCAAACAATGTGAGGTTTACTATACTACACACATTTCTAATTTCTCTTAGATGGTCACATTCTCTCAGGTAGTGTTCAAGGCGGTGTCCGTCACTCTCACCACAAATTGTACAACTCTGCTCCTAAGCTGTTGTTTCCATCCTGAATCGCCATGGATATTTGTATCCGAAACGATTTCTTGCTATTACTCATTCTCTCCCGCGGCCACCTCCTCTTCGTCCATAATGATTAGGATTGCCAGCTGCAACCACATTGTACCCACGTACAGACTCACTGGTTTGTGCTTCTGTCCTCCTTCCCTCAGTTACCTTATCACGGTGATGTTGCCCGATAATAACTAATTTGTAGAAGTCTTAGGTATGAAGCACTCAGTATGGTCTCCTTCAGCGCCCTCAACAGCCAGCACATCTGCTCGTTCATTTTCACAGATTCCAACATGGGAGGGGATCCACAGAAATTTGACGATTCTTGCCTGATTAGTTAGTACCCTCACAGCTCTTGATTTCAGTAACTATGGGCAAGGTTTTCTGCCCGATTTTTATTAAGGCTTTGTAGTGCTGCTTTTGAATCACTGCAAATCACTGCACCGTTAGTGTTTCAAGAAACCTTAACGCCATGACAATGGTCGTTAGTTCTGCTTCCGTTGAAGAAGCATAGGTCTCAATACGTGCTTTTTCTTCACTTGCGTTTTGAAAGCCATTATTCCTAATTTCAGTGTATGCTGCACCAACCTTGCCATGGGCTGTAGTTTAGTCATTTACTCCAAACTTTTCTGCACTGTACGAGACCAAGAGATGCCTATGGCTTGAGGCAGCAATACCAGGCAATGTGGCAACGTGTTAATACTTGTTATCTTTATTTTACGAGTGCCCGACTCTTGTCACAGGAGGTGGAAGGTCTTAGTCAAGGCCCATCGTGTACAATCATTGATTGATTGATGAAGATTAAGCCACCCAAAAGGTGGCACGGGCATGAATAGCCCGTAAGTGGTGGCCCTTTTAAGCCATTACCAGTATCAAGAGCTGATACTGGAGATCTGTGGAGGTGCGAATGCACCCTGCATGACGGGAGATGTCTCCCTTGTGAATGTGTTAAGATGAAGATGAAGCCACCCAAAAGGTGGCACGGGCATGAATAGCCCGTAAGTGGTGGCCCTTTTGAGCCATTACCAGTATCAAGAGCTGATACTGGAGATCTGTGGAGGTGCGAATGCACCCTGCATGACGGGAGATGTCTCCCTTGTGAATGTGTTAAGATGAAGATGAAGCCACCCAAAAGGTGGCACGGGCATGAATAGCCCGTAAGTGGTGGCCCTTTTGAGCCATTACCAGTATCAAGAGCTGATACTGGAGATCTGTGGAGGCGCGACCGCACCCTGCGCGACGGGAGACGTCTCCCGGACCAAGTGGTGACCAGATGGTGGTGTAGAATCATGAAATCTGGCCTGTTGTTTCTGTTTGACTTGGGCGGAGTATGAGTATTTATGACTCGTATGGTCGCTTCAGTAAGATTTTGCCATATGTGTTTAACAACTTCTTCTTTCACCTTCCCCTGGCTGTAACGCACGTCAGTTGGCGACCTCCCAGGTACCTATTTACAACTAAATAAACCGAGGCATTAAGTGAAAGGAAACGAACCCGGGGTCTTTCGGCTGTGACCCGACTGTGCTGACCACTTCGCCACCGGACCCTATAACATGCGAAAAGGCGTTTAAGGGATTGCATCACATGTGATCTGGCCTCCGGCGCTGGACGCTCCGCATGGCTTTAGCCATGTCGGGTTCGTTTTTGTTATCCGGAGCCTGGTGTAACCGGATGCTGCTCTGTTGGTCGTATCAAGTTACGGTCCATCGTATTGTCAGTTTAAACGTGCTTGAAGAGTCGAACGCTAACTCCCAAGCCCCGTTCTTCTATAGCTATCTGTTGTGATATAATACAATGGCCCTCGACCTGATTCCACATCTCCTCATATTTACTTTTGAAACTTGTTATTGTTCTCGCCTAAATGGAATGTAAGTTTCAAATTTTAGCTCCCTGACTTCGTCTCTAAGTTCTGGCCAATCAGTGAAAAAACTTAAATTCCTCGAGTTTATCCATGTCTAGGCTTCTCAAGGCTACTCAAACATTTCCCAGTTTTCCATGTGCTGCAGACATTCTGTTTGTACTCTTCAAGTGTCAGGTTTGATTACATACATACTCCCAGAACTTTTTCTTTCTGATTTTGGAAACTGTCTTTCTTTGGAACCAATTACCCCGTAACGTGGTGGAGGTGCGGTACCTTGATTGTTTCAAGCGTGGGTTGGACATGTATATGAGTGGGATTGCATTTATTGCACATAGGCCGCCATGTGGGATGGTGGGTCGCCATGTGGGATGGTGGGTCGCCATGTGGGATGGTGGGTCGCCATGTGGGATGGCGGGTCGCCATGTGGGATGGTGGGTCGCCATGTGGGATGATGGGTCGCCATGTGGGATGGTTTCATCCATTAACCTATCCTGGTAGTTTAACCCTCTTAGCTTTGGCATAATCTTGTTACAAACTTGTATTTTGAAGATTTTGGTTGTATGCTTCACAAGGTGTGGATTCCATGCTAATGTTGTGTGTTTCAGCATTTGTCTAACAAGTGTTAGATGGGATGTGATGGGCATGTTGGTTTGGGCTGGTGATGATGTGGTGAATGGGGCCTCTGGTAATGGGGGCTCGTGGTGATGGTGTGTGTGGGTTAAAGGTGATAGGGGTGCATGGGTTGGTGGTGGTGATGGGCGTGTTGGTGTGGACTTGTAGTGATGGGGGTGCGTGGGATTATGGTGATGGGTATATTGGTGTGGACTGGAGATGATGGGATGTGTGGATATCTGGGTGGTGATGGGACCTACCTGTTAGTGACTACGAGTAGGGTTGAGATCTAGCTCTTTATGCCCCGCCTATAAGTCTTGTTGTATATGTTGCGTCAGAACTTAGCTACTCTGACGTTCAAATTTCTTATCTAATTTGGCTTTAATTTAAAGTTGTGGAAGGAATTGGCATCCACAACTTCTTCTTTCAGTGCACTGTACTTGTTGACCACCCGTACAAGGTACGGGTATTTCCTTAAATTTCTTCGGCAAATTCCTACTTCCAGCTGTCTTCTTGTCCTAATTTCTCTCCGTTTTAAGACGCTGTTCTTGTCCATCATGAATATTTCCCCCTCAGTATGTTGTATGTTGTGATTATGTCCCCCTCTATTTCTTCTATCCTCTAGAGCTGTGCTTGTGGCGATGGGGTGTTTAGGTGAGTTGATGGTAATGGGGGTGTTGGTGGTGATGGGTTATGGGTTATGTTAATGTGTTGGTAGTTATGGTTTGTATGAATGTGATATCTGCCCAATCTTCTCTATATGTATGACTTCCCGTTGATCACGCCGCAAGCCTAAACGTTTCGCACCAGACTCCCATAAACACGAAACGTTTAGACAAGGATGGGGTGGTGTTGATCATGCAGTCAAACGTATTCAGTAGCCCAATGTGCTTATTGCAGTGGACCTTCACCACCTGCTTGGTACTTAGAGCAGTGGTGTGTACAGCTGTGCTTCCCTAGTTGACAGTCAAGCGTTAATAATCAATTCGTGCTTTGTAAATAAGAAAAACGTGTAAAGGAGTATAATTTTAGTGTGATACTTGTACAGAAGTCACGTCAGCAGTGTCCCTCCTTAACTGGAAGTGTTTTTGTGCGCATAATGTTATCAAGAAGAGTAAACAATGAGAGAAAAACATACAACACCAGAGAAAAGTCCCGGACTCTGAATCCTGTAGATAAAAGTGATAGAGTGAGCAGGGAGCCAGGGGAGCCAGCGGGCGAGGCTTCACGCTGTACCAGGCGACCGTCACAGCCTCGCACAGCTCGACACAAAGGTAAGGGAAGTATTAGCTGAGCAGATTAATGTCCCAAGACATGCCATATGATGGAAGAGTTTCAAGAAGGTCATTAAATATTCACTCCAGATCACTGTGTATTGTTTTTAAACAGTACACCGGCCATAGAGGGTTTTTTCCAGTCATTATACAGGAAGCTAGCTATACGTTCTGAATTTGTACAGAACGTATACCTTAAAGCATTATATGGGAAGAAATATGTTTTGCTACTGTACAGAAAGAAATACGTTATAGCACTAGACGAGCTATACGTTTTGGCACACTAGAGGAGGTATACGTTTTGACAAGACCGGCGCTCGCCGTGTGTATTGGATCCCGCCCCTCTGGGAACATTAAATACACTGTATAATAATTTTTTCTTTTTAGTTTACCCTGTCGAGTGAGTTTATTGGGCAGCGTCACTTATCCTATAAGTGTACATACCGCCATAGCCGCATGTATAACATCCCTAATAGGAAGAAAATCTACTGGGTTCTTCATCCTGTCACTTGTACCCAGACGCAGCTGGGGCTTTCTTGACTGTCTAAAATGAACAGTTTATCAAACAAGAAAATTGACATTTGCCAACCCCTAAACATACGTTATCTTGTGGGCGCAAAGTGGGGACTCTATTTAAGAACATTTTCTATATTTGACAAATAGTGTTTTCCTAACTCAAACAATGTGAGGATTATTATTTTATAAATATTTCTAATGTCTCTTAGACTGACATAATCTCTCAGGTAGTGGTCCAGGCGGTGTCCGTCACTCTCATCACAGATTCTGCAGCTCCACTGCTCAGCTGTTGTTTCCATCCCAAATATCACTATTACTGATTCTTTCCGGCGGCCACCTCCTCTTCGTTCATAATGATTGGGATTGCCAGCTGCAACCACATTGTATCAGAGTACAAATTCACTGATTTGTTCTTCTAGTTTCTTTTCCTCAGTTACATTGTCACGGTGATGTTGCCTGATAATATCTCTAAAATTTAGAAGTGTTTTGGGTATGAAGTATTCAAAATGGTCTCCTTCAGCGCCCTCGGCAGCCTGCACATCTCGTTCATTTTCACAGATTCCAACGTGGGAGGGAGTCCATCCCTTCCGTGAATATTTAGTATTTTCCCAGCTTTCTTGATTTACATGAGGGCCACTAACACTAGTGGCCCTCAACGAGAACAGGAAGCCGGCGGATTGTCGAAGGTACCCCTATTTGCCTTGATGATCTTTCCCAGTTGGTCCTTAAAAGTTAACAAAGTATTGGCATTTACGGCTTCGGCGGGTAGGCTGTTCCATGGGTTTATAACCCTGTGGGTTAAAAAGCATCTCCTGCTATCAGTCCTACATAGTGGCTTGTCGAACATGAAACCGTTGCTCCTTGTTTGTGTTACATCTGACCTTTTGAAGAAATTGTAGGAGGAACATCCTCCAAATTGTTCAGTATTTTAAAAGTTTCAATGAGGTCCCCCGCATGAACAACCCGTTCTCTTACAAATTACGTCGTTTTTCGCTCGTGTGCGCACTCAGACTAAAAAATGAAGTAATTGAAAATAGAATCGGCTCGCGATTCGGCTGGGTGGGGACTCTTCTTGTCAACCATCTCCACCCCCCTCTCTATCCAGATTAGGCTCAGTCCTTGGTGAGTTGAACGTGAAGGTGACTTATTTCATGTTTTCCAAACTTAAGGTGTTGTGTGATTATCAGGGGCAGATAGCTGTAGTGTCCTCAAGGTCTTGTGCAATGACTCACATTGTATAGTAATCCTGACACAGTGAATATTAAGTTAAATTGCTTGAATTATGATACTTATCATGTTAAATATACTTGATTAACTCACTTTTTAATTTGACTTCAATTGTGTTCCCTAGATCTTGGATTTTCTGATATATTGCAAACTAGAGTGTAGAGAACACTCTGAGTTCATTGACTTAAAGAGAATGAGTACATGCTTACAGCAGATAATATATGATACATGTTAACATTTGATAACAGCTTAAAGTACAGACAAGTTCCATTCCTTGTCTTGTGTGTAATGAACTAGAATGGATGATGGAAGCCCTCTCTACTTCTACTTCTACCTATCTATCTTTCTACCCTCTACTTCCTCCTCTCTCTCCTCTCCCTCCGCCTCTCATCAAACTTTTCCTTTCAACTAACCACACTCCTCGCTGCTCCCAATACTCCTTACTCCTCTCACCTCTCTACCTCCCTCACCCCAAACCCTTACTCATTACTTCATTATTCATTTCTTCACTTTTTCGCAATTTTCCGACCCCCGTAAAAAAAATATATGACAATGTCAGACCACGGAGGAAAAATGAAACAGGAATTTCCTTAAGTACTTTCGTATATTAAATACATCTTCAGAAGGTCCTTCTGAAGATGTATTTAATATACGAAAGTACTTAAGGAAATTCCTGTTTCATTTTTCCTCCGTGGTCTGACATTGTCACATTCTTAATCACGTGTTTATTTTCGTGATATACACACACACACATATATATATATATATATATATATATATATATATATATATATATATATATATATATATATATATATATATATATATATATATATATATATATATATATATATAATATAATATATTTCACCTAAAGAAAAAGCACTTTGGAAGCCATGGTTCGTTTCTCCTTAGATGTGGGGCTGACGATAGACGAGGCTAGAAGTCCCTCAGCACTGGTCACCAGCGCCCCAGCACCGCCTACATCCCCGCCTGAGCCACCACATAAGAAACTTAAGGTTTACCAGAGGGAGCAGCCCTTCGACGACCCGGAGTTGGAGAGGAGGAGGGTCAATGCCATCCTCGCTAAGAAGAACAGGGATTTGAAGAAAAAGTAAGTACTGTAATAAAAATATTATTATTATTTGTTTAATATAAAGTTCGTTCGATTTATAATAGAGATTGATTTAGTGATAAGGTGGTTGTTACGTCCTTTATAAAGCCAAAAATATATAGGTTCCGGACAAATCTTAAAAACTCACATGGGGGTTTACACGAATTTTCGGATGTAAATGAGCATAAAAATATTGAGCTAAATATGAGAGTATATTACGTAAGAACATAAATATAAAGGGTTATGTTATGTTTAATGCATTACCCATTAAATTACCAGAACGGAAACTTGCAGTTTCCGTTCTGGTAATTTAATGGGTAATGCAGTTTACCCATTTAACGATGGGTAAACTGACGATGGTTACATTGTTAGTTTCGATGTGTAAACTGTCGATTGTAAACTAACGATGTAACCATCGTTAGTTTACCCATCGTTAGTTTAACCATTGTTAGTTTAACCATCGTTAATTTACCTTGTAAATTCAATTGTATCGCCTTCAAACGTATTAATTCATTTGTCCACTTTCATAATGAAAGTAATTATTATTGTCAATAGCGCCGGTGTATTTATTGGTGTGTAGCTTGGCTGGGCCACCTGTCTGTTGGTGTGTAGCTTGGCTGGGCCACCTGTCTGTTGGTGTGTAGCTTGGCTGGGCCACCTGTCTCTTGGTGTGTAGCTTGGCTGGGCCACCTGTCTCTTGGTGTGTAGCTTGGCTGGGCCACCTGTCTCTTGGTGTGTAGCTTGGCTGGGCCACCTGTCTCTTGGTGTGTAGCTTGGCTGGGCCACCTGTCTGTTGGTGTGTAGCTTGGCTGGGCCACCTGTCTCTTGGTGTGTAGCTTGGCTGGGCCACCTGTCTGTTGGTGTGTAGCTTGGCTGGGCCACCTGTCTGTTGGTGTGTAGCTTGGCTGGGCCACCTGTCTGTTGGTGCGTAGCTTGGCTGGGCCACCTGTCTGTTGGTGCGTAGCTTGGCTGGGCCACCTGTCTGTTGGTGTGTAGCTTGGCTGGGCCACCTGTCTGTTGGTGTGTAGCTTGGCTGGGCCACCTGTCTGTTGGTGTGTAGCTTGGCTGGGCCACCTGTCTGTTGGTGAGTAGCTTGGCTGGGCCACCTGTCTGTTGGTGTGTAGCTTGGCTGGGCCACCTGTCTGTTGGTGTGTAGCTTGGCTGGGCCACCTGTCTGTTGGTGTGTAGCTTGGCTGGGCCACCTGTCTGTTGGTGCATAGCTTGGCTGGGCCACCTGTCTGTTAGTGTGTAGCTTGGCTGGGCCACCTGTCTGTTGGTGTGTAGCTTGGCTGGGCCACCTGTCTGTTGGTGTGTAGCTTGGCTGGGCCACCTGTCTGTTGGTGTGTAGCTTGGCTGGGCCACCTGTCTGTTGGTGCATAGCTTGGCTGGGCCACCTGTCTGTTGGTGTGTAGCTTGGCTGGGCCACCTGTCTGTTGGTGTGTAGCTTGGCTGGGCCACCTGTCTGTTGGTGTGTAGCTTGGCTGGGCCACCTGTCTGTTGGTGTGTAGCTTGGCTGGGCCACCTGTCTGTTGGTGTGTAGCTTGGCTGGGCCACCTGTCTGTTGGTGTGTAGCTTGGCTGGGCCACCTGTCTGTTGGTGTGTAGCTTGGCTGGGCCACCTGTCTGTTGGTGTGTAGCTTGGCTGGGCCACCTGTCTGTTGGTGTGTAGATTGGCTGGGCCACCTGTCTGTTGGTGCATAGCTTGGCTGGGCCACCTGTCTGTTGGTGTGTAGCTTGGCTGGGCCACCTGTCTGTTGGTGTGTAACTTGGCTGGGCCACCTGTCTGTTGGTGTGTAGCTTGGCTGGGCCACCTGTCTGTTGGTGTGTAGCTTGGCTGGGCCACCTGTCTGTTGGTGTGTAGCTTGGCTGGGCCACCTGTCTGTTGGTGTGTAGCTTGGCTGGGCCACCTGTCTGTTGGTGTGTAGCTTGGCTGGGCCACCTGTCTGTTGGTGTGTAGCTTGGCTGGGCCACCTGTCTGTTGGTGCATAGCTTGGCTGGGCCACCTGTCTGTTGGTGTGTAGCTTGGCTGGGCCACCTGTCTGTTGGTGTGTAGCTTGGCTGGGCCACCTGTCTGTTGGTGTGTAGCTTGGCTGGGCCACCTGTCTGTTGGTGTGTAGCTTGGCTGGGCCACCTGTCTGTTGGTGTGTAGCTTGGCTGGGCCACCTGTCTGTTGGTGCGTAGCTTGGCTGGGCCACCTGTCTGTTGGTGTGTAGCTTGGCTGGGCCACCTGTCTGTTGGTGCATAGCTTGGCTGGGCCACCTGTCTGTTGGTGTGTAGCTTGGCTGGGCCACCTGTCTGTTGGTGTGTAGCTTGGCTGGGCCACCTGTCTGTTGGTGCATAGTTTGGCTGGGCCACCTGTCTGTTGGTGTGTAGCTTGGCTGGGCCACCTGTCTGTTGGTGCATAGCTTGGCTGGGCCACCTGTCTGTTGGTGTGTAGCTTGGCTGGGCCACCTGTCACTGTTGGTGCATAGCTTGGCTGGGCCACCTGTCACTGTTGGTGCATAGCTTGGCTGGGCCACCTGTCACTGTTGGTGCATAGCTTGGCTGGGCCACCTGTCACTGTTGGTGCATAGCTTGGCTGGGCCACCTGTCACTGTTGGTGCATAGCTTGGCTGGGCCACCTGTTAGTGTTGGTGCATAGCTTGGCTGGGCCACCTGTCAGTGTTGGTGCATAGCTTGGCTGGGCCACCTGTCAGTGTTGGTGCATAGCTTGGCTGGGCCACCTGTCAGTGTTGGTGTGTAGCTTGGCTGGGCCACCTGTCACTGTTGGTGCATAGCTTGGCTGGGCCACCTGTCAGTGTTGGTGTGTAGCTTGGCTGGGCCACCTGTCACTGTTGGTGCATAGCTTGGCTGGGCCACCTGTCAGTGTTGGTGCATAGCTTGGCTGGGCCACCTGTCAGTGTTGGTGTGTAGCTTGGCTGGGCCACCTGTCAGTGTTGGTGCATAGCTTGGCTGGGCCACCTGTCAGTGTTGGTGTGTAGCTTGGCTGGGCCACCTATCAGTGTTGGTGTGTAGCTTGGCTGGGCCACCAATCAGTGTTTGTGTGTAGCTTGGCTGGGCCACCTATCAGTGTTGGTGTGTAGCTTGGCTGGGCCACCTGTCAGTGTTGGGGTGTAGCTTGGCTGGGCCACCTGTCAGTGTTGGTGTGAAGCTTGGCTGGGCCACCTGTCAGTGTTGGTGCATAGCTTGGCTGGGCCACCTGTTAGTGTTGGTGTGTAGCTTGGCTGGGCCACCTGTCAGTGTTGGTGTAAAGCTTGGCTGGGCCACCTGTCTGTTGGTGTGTAGCTTGGCTGGGCCACCTGTCAGTGTTGGTGCATAGCTTGGCTGGGCCACCTGTCAGTGTTGGTGCATAGCTTGGCTGGGCCACCTGTTAGTGTTGGTGTGTAGCTTGGCTGGGCCACCTATCACTGTTGGTGTGTAGCTTGGCTGGGCCACCTATCAGTGTTGGTGTGAAGCTTGGCTGGGCCACCTATCAGTGTTGGTGTGTAGCTTGGCTGGGCCACCTGTCACTGTTGGTGTGTAGCTTGGCTGGGCCACCTGTCAGTGTTGGAGTGTAGCTTGGCTGGGCCACCTGTCACTGTTGGTGTGTAGCTTGGCTGGGCCACCTGTCACTGTTGGTGTGTAGCTTGGCTGGGCCACCTGTCACTGTTGGTGTGTAGCTTGGCTGGGCCACCTGTCAGTGTTGGTGTGTAGCTTGGCTGGGCCACCTGTCACTGTTGGTGTGTAGCTTGGCTGGGCCACCTGTCACTGTTGGTGTGTAGCTTGGCTGGGCCACCTGTCACTGTTGGTGTGTAGCTTGGCTGGGCCACCTGTCACTGTTGGTGTGTAGCTTGGCTGGGCCACCTGTCAGTGTTGAGGTGTAGCTTGACTAGTAACAACGGTTAAACTAACGATGGCCAACAATTTTTAACACCTATATTAACACGAACAGTGACGTGTTTATTTTCTTCCCAAAGACAGATCCGGGATCTTGAGGAGAAGGTTGAGAAGCTGCGTCGCGTCAACATCCAGTGCAACAAAGCTCTACGGAGGACTAACAAAGATGTCCAGCAGCTGCGAGTGGAGCTTCAGAGCTCGACTACAGCGAAGAAGAACCTGGAGGAGAGGCTCGTCAGCAAGGAAAACTCCATTAGGGAACAGCGAGAGAAACTCACGCTGTTCAGGGAGCACCTCGACCTCATCACCAGCAGCCTCGACGACGACAATCCTGCCAAGAAGCTCGTCTATGCCTTGTTAAAGAGACTTCCGAGTAACACTTCGCTTGCAGCTGCGGCAGCTGGCACCGCGGCTGCTGCTGGCACCGCGTCTGCTCCTGGCACCGTGTCTGCTGGTACCGCATCTAATGCTGATAGTACCGCGTCTGCTACTGCTGCTTCCACCAACGTCATTGTGAGGCAGAGAGATAGCTGACGTTAGTGTACCACCGGGAGGTCGCGACTCGTGTCTTGCTCTGCATCACCAGTGTCAGTGAAGCTTAGCAACACTTGTCCGGTGAACCTCCTGGATGTCTGCCCTGGGAACACTATGCTTGCGACACACCTCGTCATGACAGCTTCAAGTTTTAGTTTAGTAACTTATTATACACCCCATACCCATCCTTTTGAGCAGTAGTGGAATAGCTTACAGACACACATATTAGGCACAAGAACTGAACTCCAAAGTTCATTTAGGTAAGCACATTACGATATTGATGCGCTAGTTACCTAGTTCCTTAAGTTATTTTTCAACAGTGTATTCACAATTTATCAAACTAATGTGAATGTAACCGCAAGCGCTCTAGTGAGTTTACTTAGCTTATTATTGGCCCCATTTCCAGCATGTGGGTTCAAGCACTTGACTACAATGATCCAAATGTTAAGCAATTTACATTTGTTGTAAGTAATTTATATCAAGAAGAGAGAATGTCTGCCCAGGGTTGGAGACTAAACGCTTGGGGCTAGACTTATTCAACTGACACACGTGAAGCGTATGGGAGTGCCACAGGTCAGTTGGGGTCGGCTCCAGTGCCACACTTTAAGAAATATTGACATTTAATCCTACCCCCCCCCCCTCCCCCATCTGTGTGATTAAGTCTGATATATTGTTTGTATTATCCATAGACTTAATTTCATTCTTCGTTATTATTATTTTTTGTAAGAGAAAGAGTTGAGAAGGAGGGATGTTTGAAGAGAGAGGAGGGGAGAGGGGATGTTGAAAAAAAGAGGGCGAGAAAGGAGATGGAAAAATTGGGAGAAGGGGATGGGGATATTAGGGGAACGGTAGAGAAGGGGGATTAGGGAAGGGAAGAGAGAGAGAGGTCCGCGTGCAGCCGGATGCCCTGCTGGTAAAAGTGTTGTTGCATCCCCTTCTCAGGAAGCGGCTGACCTCTTGGCCTAGCCTCCATATACCTCGATCCAGAGAGGAAATGCTCACTGCATCCATGGTTCCTGCCCGCCATCTGAGGAGCTGGAGGAGCTCTTCAACTTGTGACAAGTAGCCTTGTACCTTGTATGTAACCAATGTTGTAGCCATTTTTTGTGTAATGACATTTTCAAATAATGTATATATATATTATATATACATAAATTTTATATATATATATATATATATATATATATATATATATATATATATATATATATATATATATATATATATATATAACTGAAAACTCACACCCCAGAAGTGACTCGAACCCATACTGCCAGGAGCAACGCAACTGGTATGTACAGGGACGCCTTAATCCGCTTGACCATCACAACCGGACATAAGGAAGTGATAGCCGAAGCTATTTGAAGCACTTACCTGCCGGCACTCGGATGGTAATCTTGGCGGGGGTAATGCCGGCGGGGAAGTGGTTCAAATAGCTTCGGTTATCACTTCCTTATGTCCGGTCGTGATGGTCAAGCGGATTAAGGCGTCCCTGTACATACCAGTTGCGTTGCTCCTGGCAGTATGGGTTCGAGTCACTTCTGGGGTGTGAGTTTTCAGTTGTATATAGTCCTGGGGACCATTCAGGCTTGTTTGCATATATATATATATATATAATATTATTGTATCTAAGCATGGAGACATGTTTAGAAACATCATATTATATATATATATATATATATATATATATATATATATATATATATATATATATATATATATATATATATATATAATATGATGTTTCTAAACATGTCTCCATGCTTAGATACAATAATCCAAGTGAAGGCCCATCAGAGATTTATACAGTTTAATAAATACCTTCTTTTCGTTTAAGTTAAAGGTTCATTTGATTATTCCTAGTTCATGTACCTCTGAAAAAGATCCGTTGATATTTCAGGAAGACTTTTGTGTAAATAGGATGTACCAATGATTCGAGATGAAACTCTTAAAAGGTATTGGCATAGGTGGTGTAGATGCTTTTTAAAGGTCGTTGATTTCCCTGACTACATGACTGTTCTTGTTGTTTGGCTAGCAGAGGAGTGGTTAGTCATAGGGTTGCTGGTGCTTGGGATGGGTCACAGATGAATGTTGAGGATGCCACGGTGGGTCGGGCGAGGCGCTGGTGGAATTTACTATAGTATGGCGTTAGTATGAGTTACGTTTTCTTTGTTGGCTGGAGTGATCCTAATTATTTGTTCAGGGGGACTACGGAGGATGGATTCTTAGGAAGCGAATGAATAATAAGAATAATTCAGTGTCGGGGGATATGCAGCCAGTGTGTGTGTGTATATATATATATATATATATATATATATATATATATATATATATATATATATATATATATATATATATATATTATACATGTTATTCTTATATGACGGTGTCCCCCAAGGTTACTGATCCTCCCCAGGGTCGAATTATTGACTCCCCTCCGAGGATGCAACCCCTAAATAAGATAACACCTGGTTTATTGCTAGAACAGAGGCATTATGTGATAGGAAGTGCGCCCACCTATTTCTCTCTCGCCCGGGATTCGACCCGGAATTTTCAATTGTGAGTCGAGAAATTTGGAGGAATATGATCCATAGGATAAGCTGTGAATTTGATTGGTCCTAAGAGTAATGGTGGGGTGTTGATCGTTGGAGGCGTATTGTGAGAAAGGAGTTTTTTGAGAGTATTTCACCTATTACTTTGTGAGCAATTTGTTGTGGAGGTGATTTAGGATGAACATAATGGGTGTGGTTGTTTTGATGATGGTATATGTTGTTGGTTTCTGAGAGCACCAGAGTGAAACATATTAGTTTGTTACGTGAAGTGGGGATGGCTGGGTTGTTGGGAAGTTGAAGTGCTGATGAGATTGTAAGATAGAGTTCGAGATTGTTTGTTGCGTAGATTTTTAATTACTAGTTTTCTAACGGGGTAATTGTTGTGTACTGTAGGGTGTTGGCCATCACAGTTTATGTATACAAGTGATGTTTACCAAAGAGCCACTAACACTAGTGGCCTCGACGAGGACAGGAAGCCGGCGGCTTGTCGAAAGTCCCCCTCCCCCCTTGATCTTTTCCAGCTGCATCAATAAAGTTAACAGAGTTTTGGCATTTACCGCTTCGGCGAGTAGGCGGTTCCATGGGTTAATAACTCTGTGGGTGAAAAAACATCTTCTGTTCTTAATCTTACATTGTGGTTTATTGAGCTTGAAACCGTTGCTCCTTGATTGTGTTACATCTGACCTTCTGAAGAAATGTTCCAGATCAACATCCTCCAATTTGTTCAGTATTTTAAAAGTTTCAATAAGATCCACCCTGTCATTCCTGGTTTGCAGTATTGTTAGCCCTATGGCCCTGATCCGTTCCTGATACGTGAGTTGACTTAGCTCTGGAATTATTTTTGTCGCCCAGTATTGCACTTTCTCCAGAGCAGCTATATCTTTCTGAAGATGAGGTCTCTATTCTTGGATACAGTAATCCAAATGGGGGCACACCAACGATTTATACAATTGAATCACTACCTTCGTTTTCTTGAAGTGGAAAGTGCTTTTGATTATTCCAAGTGTTTGGTTAGCTTTTGTTGTGCCTGTGTGTTGCTGCAGGCAGTCCAAAAATGTTCTAGTTCATTTAGAGCGAGAGTATGATTTCTTACATGACTTTATCATGAGTGTATTTGTAATACTTAAACCATTAAACCAAACTGAGAAATTGGCACATTCCTTGCAAATGATATCCCATCCTCTCTAATGTTAAGGACTACCTTACAGGAAACTATCCAGAGTCTCTGTACCTAACTCACGCTAATTCCTCTGATGTTAATGAGATAATCCTTTCTCTTAAAACAAAGTCAAGTTCCCTTGCTGAGATACTAACTCTAATAATTTTTTTGCTCTACAACAAATCACTTGAACTCCAAACCTTTTCGGATATTCTAAAAACAAAAAAACGAGAGTAATCCCAGTCCATAAATGTTGTGATCTCACTAATGTCAACAATTTCAGACCTATATAAATTCTGCCAGCCTTGTCAAAAATATTTGAAAAGCTGATCTACAAGCAGCTTTACTCTTATCTAACTAAACACAATATACTTAGCTCTTGTCTATATGAGTTTAGATCCCCAAAAAAGCACTAACAATGCTCTGATTAGTGTGATTAACTTGATACATGCAGCTCTTGATAAAAATGAGTTCCCTGTTGGGTTATTTGTTGACCTAAGTAAGGCTTTTGACACTGTCAACCACCACAACCTTCTTAATAACGGTACTGGTGAAAAAGAAAGCGCTTTGTGCGCGCGGCGTTTTGGGCTCTTGAGCGTAAACACCAAAAAGTGTATAATCTTTTCACTCTCCTGACACCAATTCTCGAGCTACGTATATCATTTTGGTATCAATGTGTTGGCAATAAAATTCTCTACAAGATCATATATATAAAATGTCACCAAAGCATTAGCTATCCCACCACGAAATAAATAAAAACGTAGATCACGCTTCACTCGCCGTGAAGCCCAAACAGCAACAAAATGTTCATACTCTTTTGTTTGTTGTCAGCTCCACATTAGTCCTACAGTGTTAACTTTTATATCACTGAACTCGCAATAAAATTCCCTACACATACATATGCATATAAATGTAGAATCATGATCGCGGCCCACACCAAGAGTGTGTGAAGTGGGCGATTACCCGCGTTGTGTCAACAATTCAATAGTTTCTCCACTAAGTTACAATACAATGCCGTTCTCTCAAATAGGCCATGTGCCTATTGGAGAAAACGGAAATTTAATGGCAAACATTTTCATACTAACCCCAAGTCGATCGAATAAGAACTGGATTTTTTAATGTTTTTCTTAAATCGCGCGGCTATTTACGACTCAGCTACGGAACCCGTAGAAATAAACACGTCGTTAATTTACGACCCGGCTACGTCAAAGTGTTATTAAATTAACATTGACAAAACCTTTTATATTTTGTATATTATTCTTTATGCTCAATTAGTATTAAGTTCTAGATATTAATGTTTTTCTTGCCCGAAACGCATTGCGTAATAGTGGCTTTAGGCATTGTATGTACTAGCTCTATCTATATATCAGTCTATTAATGTAACATCACTTGTATGTATGTACCTTACCTGAACAAACATATTTATATTTATATTTATTTATTTATTTATTTGTTTGGTAATAAATCCTCAGATCAAATTAATCTAAGAATAAACAATATACAAATTAGTAACAAAGTAGATGGTAAATTACTTGGTGTTCTCATCGATAACAAGCTGAATTTCCAGGGCCACATTCAAAATACAGTGTAGCAAAAAAAGTTTCTAAAACTGTTGGCATTCTTTCTAAGATCAGATATTATGTACCTCGCCCTGCCATTGAAACGCTCTATTACTCTCTCATCTATCCTTTTCTCAATTATGGTATTTGTGCTTGGGGTTCTACTACCAAAAATCATCTACGTCCTCTAATTACTCAACACAAATCTGCTATTAGAACAGTAATAAACTTTGGTCACAGAAAGTACTCGGCACCCTTACGTGAATCTTTGAATATGTTAGATATTAAGTCACTGCACACCCTCTGTATATTTAAAACTCTGAACTGTAATGCCAATCCTGACCTTAAACGCTTTCTAGAATGTTGTGACAGAACCCATGGGCACCACACCAGAAACAAATACCAATTTGATATTCCATGAGTGCGACACAACCAAACTAAAAATGCTCTGCAAATCAAGGGACCCAGAATGCGGAATGACCTTCCCAATCACGTCAAAGGCTGTACCTCTCTCAACCAGTTTAAGAGAAAAACTAAGTACTACCTAATAAACTCCCTTCTTGTAACCTACCTTACCCCTCTAAATGTCAACCCATGTCTTGCTATATCCAAACCATACTTTTTGTTGACCAACTTGTATAACTATTGATTTTCGCCATGTTTTTTTTCCTTTCTCCCTTTTTCAACTCAATTTAAACTTTGATCTCAATTACTATTAAGTTTTAGTCTAAGTGTTTTCCCACACCTTGCCCGAAACGCTGTACGTATTAGTGGCTTTAGGCACTGTATGTACTAGCTCTATTTAGAAATCCAACATTATGTTTGTAACTT